TCATTGACCGCTAAAACAAAAAAAAAATTATAATAAAAATATGGATCCCGCCATTTCTCACATTTCAGTGCACAAATCTATAGTCATTCCTCTGTCTTTGTTTTATTACCAAGTCGTTGTCATAAGGTGAATATAATTAGGTAAATAATTCATAAACTTATAAGGAAATTAGCATTCTTATATATCGTTGTGTTTGGATCCGTAGGTTCACCTTGGTTGCTATACTTCCCTTTTTCATTGTTCTACACCCCGAAGTGAGTATAACAACCAAGATGAACAGATTTTAATCCGAATTGAAATTTATATAATAATAATTCTGATCTCAAAAGTCCGGCTTAAATAATATTTGAAGTGTTGAAAATTCCAAAAACGTCAATGTATAATTTCTGCAGATACTTCTTGCAAAATGAATAGAGAAAATAACATCCAAAGATTGGAAAACATTGAAAATAAGACCTTTTATGTAGTTGCCATTTCAATCAAACATTTATAAAAGAAAATGGCGACCGCACGACGCACAAACCCGCCCTGTCTTTAGAAATCTTAAGATCGATTTTTCACCGATTATTTTTTTAAAAATCGAATTGACAAAAAATCGATTTTTATCCGTCTGTACATGGATTCTATTCATCGATCAACTGACAGAAGATTTTATTTATTCTTTCTGTAAACTTACAAGTAACATCATCTTGTAGTCACGTTTCATATGTGAATGAGTCTTTCCATGTATACTTGGCTTGTATAACGTAACTAAATAACACACAAGGAGTATACAATTGCGGAATACACTTGCACACTGATTTGCCTTAACTAATGCAAATTGTTGATACACTCCTTTCAATGATATTGTTAGTACCAACCTGGCTTTTTTTTTCATATCGCATTCCTTTTTTCTGAATAGGGTTTTTCTTTTGGCATTGTTCGTGGGTTCTTTGGAAATAGAGAGGAAATATCTCTACTCTCTAATGTCTACTTTAAACATTAATGTATCCATTATACACTTACATTTGAGCGGGACGGAAGTAAGGATTAAAATAAACCCCACAAAAATGAACATGAAAATATTTTATATATGAAACACAAATTCACAACCTTAAGCAATTAACATGCAGTATATATATATATATATATATATATATATATATATATATATGTGTGTGTGTGTGTGTGTGTGTGTGTGTGTGTGTGTGTGTGTGTGTGTGTGTGTGTGTGTGTGTTTGTGTGTGTGTGTGTGTGTTTGAGCACGTTTTTTTCATAAATGTGCTTAAAGGTAGTATTTTCAAAATTCCTCGGGAAAACTGGCAAGACAGTATTTCAAGGAGACAAAGAAAAAGTCTTGCAACTTTTCCCCCGCGAGGGAAACTGTACATTTCTCTGTTATCTCTCTGCTTTATTTTTAGAACGCGCTGGAAGTGCGTTGTCCTCCGCAGGCAGCCAAGCAGCAATTGATTATTCTCATCAATGGGCTTTCACCTGACCTTCAAGATCTCCTTAAGGCATCAATAAATTCTTTCTGTCGGAAGGGTGGCTATTACTTTATGCTGCAGTTCGGGATTATGAAGATGATAGCGTTTTTGTTTTTTTGTTTTGTTTTATTTCTATAGAATCGGTTATCTTATCTTTTCGTTCATCAACTATGAGAAAAAGAATTTCGGTTAGCTCATTAATTATTCCTGTAGCAACCAATAAGTCTATTAATCTATCCATAAATCACACTTTTCAAATATATATAGTGGTCTGAACCATTAGGTGTGAAATTGACAATCCCCATGCATCGTTGATTCCTATGTCCATATTGTCTATTTCTTGTAACGCTCTTATCTATTGAGCATACTTTCCAGATTAATATAGCAAATTATAAACAATAGATGTATGTCTGTATATGCACATACACCCGTATCAGTTTAATCAAAATCGATTTATCGATCTATCAGTGCAAGACTTTCTATCTCCAGTCCTTTGTTCTATTGCTTATTGATGTTTATCCAATATTTGTTAAATTCTCTCTGTCCCAGTCATCTCTTCGTTACCGCCGCAATAAATGTTAAATCTTTCTAATAAAACAGAAATATACATCGATATTTGACTAAATATTCTAATTTTCTGAGTAGCTTTTTTCCCCTCAATTCTTATTTCACGTTTTTACTTTCCTGTTCCTTTTTCCATCCTTTCAGTCAACCTTAATTGTCATTCAGTAAACAGTGCAAAAAGTATCCATTAAATAAGGCAACATCTTGAGTTATCTCCCCTTAGTGCGGTCAACCATCACTAAGTGTCGCCTTTAGTAAGAAAGCCTTTTTCTTTTAAATGAAACCCTTTATTGTAGATATTGGCAATCTCCAATGCATGTAGTTTCGAGGAAATATCCATTATTATCTTAATTCTTTTATTATATTGCAAACACTTGTGTCTTTATGCAAACAGAAACTTCCAAATACAACGGTCGCCCGAAAGATTGATTAATTTTGTTCTTTTCGCATGAGCAAAACTCACTCATTCTTTTCTTTATCATTGATTTTCTTTAAATGAAATCTTGTTTAGATCAGATGTCTTAGGCGACATTTTCCATGGCTTATGTTCTGAATATTATCTATCCGTCTACATTTTAATGATACATTGCCGTCTGTGTAACAGATCTTCTCCCATAAATACCGGCCAACCAAGGTATCGACGTGAAGATAAAATTCTTTAACACGTTCTCTCGTCTCGTCCAAGACATGAAACGATATTAGATTGAGTAATTGTCTGTTTCCTTGGAGATATTTATGGTACGCGAACTATAGTAGCTTCCCCCAAGCAAACGGTAACAATAAAGAGGACAAATGTCTTCATTTCATTTTTATTCTAGACTTATTTGAACATATAAAGCTAATTACAATGAACAATTTCTGTTATTATTGCTTTTAATTACGGTATTTTAAAGTTAGTTTGAAATTTGAAAATATTACTCTGCAAACATCAACAAGTGTTAGATCTACAGTATCAGTAGGAATAAAAAAGGCGGTTTCATTTTTAATAGAGTTTCTATAACTTCATGTTAAAGTCTTCATCATATGTGAAGAACAAGCGCGCTATACATATACTCTATTTTATTGACTTGCCAATCTATATTCTAAAAGAACAACAAATTCTCTGTCCATCACACACTGCCTGCATTTGACTTTGCACGTGTCTATGTAAGGTACATTAGGTGTTTTATGTATGTAACTGACATGTGATTGTGCCATGTAGCGTACAAAAGCTCTCATAATTTTACTAAATTGAAAATAAGACACTAGAATAAAACTTTCCCCTTTCCATATCAAAATCAGTCTATTCATATCTCTTTATTGTTATCTAGAATCTGACAGCATCGAGGTATCACAAATAAATATCCAATGTATTATGATGATGTAGGTACCATCACAGAAAACGCGATACCTTAGGTTTAAAATGAATGCCAAATTGGAGCTTATTTCTCCTATGAATTCTGAGAGTAAAAAAAGCCCCAGCTCTACTTAATAATAATTTGGCATTTATTCGACTGACTCTCTCTCTCTCTCTCTCTCTCTCTCTCTCTCTCTCTCTCTCTCTGGTGCAGTGAGAGAGCGCGGCCTCGGACAGCTGTTCTCCAGGGCCGTCACCTCTCAGTATAATTTTCCTCAGTTTATAAATACATACAGGCCTGACGATTGCATCTAGCATGAAACAGCCTGTCGCCTCTAAGTGTTGACTTCAATGTTCACTTTTATATTTACATACGCTCTATCTCTGATATTGAGCACTTTATCCCAAAATATATCACACCTTAAAACTATATTTCTTCATGAAAAGTGAAATGAAGTCTTAATTACGAGTAAGCTCAATGTTCAACTTCATCCGCATCTCCGCTCCCAGAAATCGATATTCGTAAATTAAAGGCTGTCCTGAATCTCGATTTTCATATATGTGTTCCTACCCTAAGATTTTATCTAATAAGATTAACTTTAAAACATCTTGACTGAAGCAAATTCATGTTTATTTGGTTACAAGTAAAAGAGAAGACGTTTTGCAAGACAGTTGGACCTTCAAAGAATTAACAGAATCTTGCATTTTTGGTTCACGGAAGACAAATTCCAATATATATATATATATATATATATATATATATATATATATATGTCAGTATCTGACGCTGAATTTCAGTTAAGAAACTCAAACAATTTGGTACTAAAATCTGATTGGTCATTCGCTACTTTTCACAGTAAGAGTAAATGCTCGAGAGGAAACAAACGATCATTTTTTGCTCCTATTAATGATGATGAGGATGATGAATGCGATTTTAAGAAGTAAGCGCTGGGCTGGTTGTGTTTATTTATTATGCTGATACTGATAATGGTTTGGGGCCAATGAAAATGTTGGTAATAATAACGCGTTAATGATGGCGGGTGATGTTTCCTTTCTAGCGATGATGATCTTTTTTAAGAGGCCTTTTCTGATGGCCATATTCCATGGACAATTCGATTAGAAATAGATGTTGTTAAGAGAAAAACGAGAATATAAGTGGTGGTCCCTTCGGACTGTTTATGTATTCATTCAGAGTTACAGTCAGACTGAGAAGAAGAAAACGAGGGAATTTTAAAGACCACGACAAAAGATCTGTCTGCCTGCTGCACGAATTAACCACCAGCGAAAAGTGAGGTCATTACTGTTGTTCAGATGTTCTTAGTAGTAGTAGTAGTAGTAGTAGTAGTAGTAGTAGTGGGAGGAGGAGGAAGAGGAGGAATTTAGCACAAAGATGGTAAATGACGTATTTGGAGGTCTAAGTTGCGTTATCATTCGAATATTGAAAACTATTCCGGTCGTTATCAAAGTTAAAGAGTCAGAGAGAGGGAGAATCAGAGACACGAAAACACACACACACACACACACAAAGAGAGACAGAGGAACAGATACGCACACACACACATACAGACACACAAAGAGACACTGAGGGAGACACACACACAAAAAGAGCGACAGAGGGAGAGACACACATATACATACAAAAGAGAGACAGCGAGAGACACACAGAGGGAGATACACAAAGAGAGAGGGAGATACACAAAGAGAATGAAAGAGACACACAAAGAGAGTGAGGGAGACACATACGCGCGTGCGCGTTCTCACATACACAAAGAGAGAGAGGGAGACACGCACAATCACAGAGGGAGAAACACAGAGAGGGAAAAACACAGAGAGTGGGGGAGGGAGCGAGAGGGAGACACACACAAACAGAGAGAGGGAGACACACACACACAGAGAAGGAGAAACAGAGAGAGGACAGGGAGACAGAGAAAGGCAGACAAACAGAGAGACAGACATAGCGAGACGCGCGCGCGCGCACACACACACACAAACAGAGAGGAAGAGTGTAGAGACATAGGAAGGTCCCTAGTATTCGAAATACCCGTCTACTAGAGCGGCTAGCCAATCCCTATTGCAGACGCAAAAGGCACATTTTATTTGCTCAAGAACAGAAAATTTCTAAATTTAGATAACCATGCTGAGCAGACATTAGTTACAGTTTCTGGGTAAAAGCGAATTATCTAGCGAGAAATGATTTTGAAAAAGGCCAGCAACCTCAAAAAGGTCGGCAACAATGACTTGTGACTTTGTGCTAAAGCTATCGACGACCCTTAGACATATATATATATATATATATATATATATATATATATATATATATACACACACACACACACATATATATATATCTACATACACACACACACACATTACATCCATATATATATATATATATATATATATATATATATATTTTTCTATGGTCGATTCTTATACATTAAATATTATACCCGTATTATACCAGTATTATATCGTTCCAGGATTCATTTAAGATTAGAATTCATTAAAATCATTTTACATAAATTTTATTATAATACAATTATTATAAATTCCATCATATATATATATATATATATATATATATGATAAACCTTGATGTAGATACACATCACATCTTGCGGATATATATATATATATATATATATATATATATATATATATAATTTCAATAAGGATTGATAACTATAAGAATTAATACATTACTCATATAAATATTTCAATCTTTTTACATTGATTTTATTGTGTCGCTATTGACTTGCATAATAAAATGTGACAGTGTATTATAAAATACAAGCTAAATTTTGCAGATTTTAGTATAAACAAGAATATCTGTAGAACTTTTAATTTGTAAAAGAGCATCTATGTAAGCAAGTATATTTCATGCTATATTTATTTTCCCTCGAAGGATATTTTTTTCATTAGTTTCGACCCACGACAGCGAGTATCAGTGTCAAACAAATAAGCGACTAAAAAATATGTTCGCAAAAAGACTTAATATTTTTTTTTAGAAGAATTTCTAAACAAAATAGAATTAGTGGAAACTTAGGAACCTGACTTTAATTTGAGTTCTCATACCGACAGAAAGCGTCAATTTTGAAAAGTTTTCGAATTTAGGCCAGTTGGGAATAATGTCTAAAACGAAATCTATGTCTTTTTATTCAATCCCACATGAAATTATATGCGAAGAATTATGTTTTCCACATTGTCTGTGCCTAGTCATAATATATACTCCATCATTTTACATTTTCTTTTTTTTGGGGGGGGGTAAAGATAGAGCCTAATGTACTTTGCTATTTGACCGATAGGTAGGGGTACAAGTCAGCAGCAAGGATCAATAAATGAAGAAATTGCCTTTAACTTGGATTCTTTATTCTTGAGACCAGAACTAAGTGGAACGATGTCTAAGTGATTTGAACCAAACTAGAGAGAATCATTATTATTTTTCGGTTTCGATGAAAAAGCAACGTTAATAAGATAAAAGAAAATCTAATCACGATTGAATAATTTTCTGCAACCCATCCTTAACAAGAATGAATATACACGAAGGCATTCAATTAGCCATTTATTCAAATCATGCCCAGCCCATAGCATTTGAACAAGATCAACATCTTCATCAGTCTTTTGTTTTTTACAATATGAACATTAAGTGCTTATATCAAGTTTATTTTTTTTCTTAAATTCTCGCAGTTTGTAGATCTTTATGGAATAGAAAAGAAAACAGATATAATCGATTTATTTTTAATTTGTTTTTCATGTTCTGTCGATTGTAAAATATGCAAGTAACAATTATATATATAAATATAAATATCGGTTGAGTTTCGATCCGGGCTTGAAGCATTTGTTTGTCTAGTCGCACTGATGAACTGTGATGCACAAACACACTGTCACAATTACATAATTTATATAAAATATATTTAATATATTGTATAACGACATATATAAAAAACAACGATCAACTATATAAATGCGAAGCTTTCAGTAAAATGAATTGAGCACTTGACGTTTGTTTACATTTGTAAAAACAATACGCTATATTTGGCTGATTTAGTTCTCTCGAGTGAAGATTTAAATGGTAGAAACTTGACTTAAAATCATTTTACATTTCAAATTTTCTTATAATAGCAATGATACAGCAAAATCCATCATATATATATATATATATATATATATATATATATATATATATATATATATATAAAGAGAGATAAAGGCAGGTAATTCAAATAACTAGATATTAGCAATTATTTATATCTAGCGTACATACACAGGTAAGCAAATAAATATTTACTAAATTTACTTTAAGATCTAAAGATAACAGTATTCAATGTGGTTAGACAGAGCTAAGAAATAAGTAATATTTAGTGTCTGAGGAGTTGGTAGAACACACAAGCTTAAGTCGCACTCCAAACGTAGGTATATATATTAAGTTGTACGGATATTATATTGTAGCCCTGTGTTTAACGCTTTTATTTTAGACAATCTAGTTTTTTTATAAAAAGTATATCTGTTTAGAACTAGTTAATTTGATTATTTGTGTGATTCTTTGGTATGTGAGAACGTCATCCCAAACAAACACATTTTCCCCCGAAGGATATTTTTTCATTAAGATATTGTGTAAATGCCACGACAGCGATTGTATTCAGTGATCAAACAAAATCTGTAAACAAAAAATATAGTCCACAAAGACAAATATTTTTTGACAAGAAGACTCAAACTACATCTTTCTGACCATAGCTCAATTAGATCCTGATTTTAATACTTGGAGACAACATGATAACACAAATGTAATAGCATCGTCAATTTTGAAAAGCCTTTTTAATAAAAACAAAACAACCAGTTGGGAATACGAACATGGACACAATACCTTGACCGTGTTTTTAAAATAAATACATTATGTGAAATTAATATATGAAAAAATGTATTTTCCAAATTGTCTGTGCAACTTTGTCATTTTATATATTTTATCTACTTAAAAGAAAAATTATAAGATCACATGAAAAATTATATAAAAACTTAATCAAAGCACCTTTCTGTCATATTTAATGAAACTTGTATATATATATATATATATATATATATATATAAGGATCAATAAATGAAGAAGATAACGTCCCTTTAATGTCGACTGTTTATTTTGTATAATAATAGAACTAAGTGTTTGAATTTGATTGTGTCTCTAGAGTAGTTTTGTTATCCAAAATATTTGCCTTGTGTTGATAGTTGTATTTTCGGCTTCCGTGATTTTATGGCCGATATGTGCAAAAACCAATTGTTATGTAAAATTTAATGGTGTCTAAAATTGCTAATCACATTGAATACACACACACATCCTATATATATATATATATATATATCGTCATCCAAGACTGTGCGGCTAGACATTTATTCAAATCTTGCCCAGGCCCATAGCATTTTAAGAAAGATCAACATTTTCATCAGTATTTTTTTTTTACAATATGATCCAGAGAACTTAATCCGTCAGAGAGTTTGTTATCAGCAGTAATATTCATTGTTTACAAATTCACGGAATTCTCCCTCACAGTGCTAATCGAATTAATTTTTTTTTGTTTTTATCATCATCAAAAGTATCTGTCGATTGTAATATATATATATATATATATATATATATAAATTTAAATTATCGGACTATTGTCCTCATCTTTTGTCGCCATATTTGTCACAACTAGTCGGACATATGAAGAACTTTCCGATCAATGGTCAATTATATCTACAAGGAAGCGTCTGAGGGTGGCATTACAGAGCCTTAGCAACTGAAAATCGGCCTGAGTGAATACCGTCTTTTGAAACTTACAACCGTATATTCAGGTAACTTGATCAACTGCCTATACGTCTTGGGTGCGAAGTGATCAGTGTTCTTGATTAGGATCTGTGACAGTTTGCGTTCCGTTTTCAAAAACAATAGGATATTTTTCACTATGCTGTCGTTCCATTGCTAATGAGGTGGCTCCAGTTTTCTTGTATAAACTCCGATTTGTCCATCACCAGTCGCATCCTTTGTCAGTTTAGTATGATGATGTTCTCATTCCTCTGTGTGATTCAATCGCCAGTCTCTCCAGTTTTGTTATGTTCCAATATATATCTATTTCCATCTCATTTCATCCGCCTGAGCCTGAAATGTTCAAGGCCACCTAATTCTACTCTTGGTTGTGGCGAAGTTGAGACCCTTATTCAATACTGATCTCAGAGGCACTCAGCTGATATTGGCTGATGTTGACTAAATGCTTTACTGATGGATTACCTTCTGATCTTTCAATCTATTTAATTTTTGCACTTGGCAGAGCTAAGACTACTGAAGGATTTATCCAGTTTTGGATCCTTCTGAGGTCTTGGTCATTGGTACACAAGTTGAAGAGATCCTCGAAACGTCTGGGAGATATTAGCATGTACTCGATATTTCATCCAACGGTTGTACCCTGTGTTTAAAGGGAGTGTCCCGCTTTTACCCGACAAACTAGTTCTCTTTTTGAATTGAAAGGAAGTCTATTTATGCTTATTTAGCCTGAAGGGATTGTTTGATTCATCGGTGTAGGAACGTCATCCCAAACGATATTCAAAAGGATTGGTAGGATTTCTCAATTTTTCCAACATTTTTAAGATATTGGGTCTATATTTCTGAGATGAGGAATTATGTTCAGTATTTATCAAAAGTCGGACTATTGTCCTCATCTTTGTCGCCATATTTGTCACAACGTTTCGGCTGTTGTACGCTTCTTCAAGTAGTTGGAATTTCGAACTGAACCCTTTTATTTGACCTTAGACTGTTTCTAATTCTCATTTAAATTTTGATGGATGTCAACTTCAGTTACACAAATGTAATTTTCCTCGTCTCCACATGCCTAAATGGAATTGAACTCACCTTCTTTGGGTCTGTCAACATCTCAACCAACGCAAACATTTATCCACTGTGCCATGTGTTTTTGAATAAATCTGGGTAT